TGAAAGTAAAAATATGGGTTGTAGGTCCAGTCATCTTTAACCAGATTAGGAATAGTTTCTGATTTAATAGAGGTGATATCAGAGGTGGAGAAGGGAATAAAAGGAAAGTATTTGTAACTTTCAACTGGTGTTGTAAAATAATCACACTGTGCAAATCTATGTTCTGACCCAGGATAAATATATACAATGCTGTAGTCTTCTTTAATTAATAAATAGAATGAGAAGTTGTATACATTGTTAAGGTTATAATAAAAGGATTCAAGGTGTTTAATAAAAGAATTAATAGTTTGGGGATATAGAAGTAGAGGAAGATTAAAAGATAATAAGATTTGGTTATAACATGTATTGAGATTGTATGTGATTAAGTGTGGTTCATTAATGTAGACAGTATTTGTATTTGGATAGTTAGTATGTTGGGTTGGCTCATCATAGGGATCTAAGGATGTTGAAAATGATTTGCCAGTAATAGGGTTGTCTTCTACAGGGTCGTTTGCTGTTTCAAGCTTGGTTTTTTTTATTTTTTTAAAAAGTATTCTAAACTATATAAATAATATAAAATTAAATTAAATTTATTAGCTAATTAAACAAACTTCTGCTTTAATAATAAATGTATAAACAGTAACAGTAATAATATATATATAGTAATATTGTATAGCTAATCATATTTGGTTAATTTTTTTTTATAATATAATAATATATATATATATATATAAATTATTACATATTACTTTTTGTATTTAAAATTAACTATTACTCTTTTTATTTATTAAATATCATAGATATCAGTTGTTCTTCTTCATTTTTTCGATCTTGTAATCTTTTATAATTTTTAATTTGCTGAAGCCTTTTAAAGCTGAAAGGTTTAAAAAGATCAGAGAGGGCACGAACTTGAAACACTACCACAAAAGAAAGACCAGCTGCAAACTCTTTATTTCCAAGATCTATTACAGCATTTGAAAGAGTAAGTCCCTGACTCTTATGAACCATAATAGCCTAGGCAAGACAAATAGGAATCTGTGTTCATGAGCACATTATCCCAGATTTACTTTTCCAAGTACATTGAATAGATACTATTGGAACAACATTTACACCTTCTAATGTTCTAATAGCAAGACCATTATAATTATCAAAAGCAATAAAGACTGCTACAGGAAGAAAGGTAAACTATACTCATTGTACAAAATGTCATAAATAGTTCCTATTGATCCATTAACTAACCCAGCTTCTGTTCATAGATTTGCTGTTAACATAACTCATGCATCTTTAGCTAATAAAAGTTGTGCTTCAAGACCTTTAGCAATATCAGAATCAGCTTTTTTAGCTTCTTGATCACCAGTATGTTTAGCAAGAACTTTGACAACAGGATTCTTTAAAGATTTAAGTTTATTTAAGTTAACTGCATCAACTTTAGACCATTTTGATAATATGAACATAGCATTTAAAAATCGATCACATTCAGTTCTATTATATTTTTTTTCGATACGTATAGTAAGTGTTTTCCAATCTTCAAAAGTAGACTTACTATTGTGTAATCTTAAAAGAAATTCTTTAAAAATTTGTTGCTCTCTAGAATCTCCAGATTGGCATTAAATAATATCAAGTTTATATACTTCATGAAATTGACCATATGATATAATACCACTATTAGATAATGGATCTCTTGAAACATTAGTAGCATACATAGGGAGGTTAAGTACTGTTGGAACTTGATCAGAATCTCCAACTATAATAATAGATCAACCACCAAAAGGT